TCTCCAGTGCCATGGAATTCGGCCAGGGCTCCAGGTTGTGGTTGGAGCGCAACGACCTGCTGACACGTACCAAGATGGCAAGTTACATTCGGCAAGGGTACAATGGTTGGGAAGCACTTCAAGAGGCCTTGCGTGAGACTCACCTTGAATGGTGCGCCAGTGCCACTCAGGCCGTCCCCAATGAGCCTGCAGGCGCACCCAAACGAGCAGCCCGGGGTGCCAGTGAGGCACAGCCTCCTGCACCCAAACGGCGCCAGATCAAGCAGGATTCGTACCAGACCATCTCTATGTTGAAAGGGGGCCTGAAGTTGTGTAAGCCTTGGAATGATGGACGCGGTTGTGCAAACACGAAGTGCCCGCAGGTTCACAAGTGTGATGTCAAGCTGCCGACAGGTAAGCCGTGCCAGGGACCCCACACCAGGCTCGAGCATCCGAGCGAATAGGGACATCTCCCCCCGGCAGCCTGTGAGCTGCGGGGGGTTGAGCATCCAGTGCAGCAGAGGGATACCACGGCGCCACCTCAGGGGGCCGTGCGGCAGATCACCTTGCGCGAGCCTATGGAGCTCACCCCTTCGGCTTTAGCTACCCGCTTGGTCGGGGCAAAACCGGTGACATGGCGTGGCAGAGGAGACCTGCCACAGTTCCCTTGGGGTGTATCTATTCGAGGTACTTGGCTGGTATTGGACCTCTGGGCGGGCATTGGTGGACTGTGCATTGCATTGCTTGCCCTCGGTGTTCACATCTACGCAATCAGCGCTGAGAGTGACCCGGTGGCTAGTGCCGCTGCACAGGCTGCAATGCCTAATCTGGTGCATATTGACTCAGTTGAGGAACTCAAGGGAGCGGACCTCCGCCAGTTCTTGCAGCGGCGCCAAGTACGGGGCATCATCCTGGGTGGTGGTTCCCCGTGCCAAGGCAACTCTAGCTTGAACCGAGGCAGGCAGGGTCTTAATGACCCGAGATCTCAACAACCGAGCCAACTCCGACGCCTTCGGGAGGAGATTTTGGCCCTCCCGGAAGCTCGCACCTGTGAAGTCATCACATTCCTGGAGAACGTCGCCAGTATGCCCCAGTCCGTTTGTGAACAGTACTCTACATGGTTGGGCGCTCAACCGGTGCTGAGCGACGCGGCTGGGTGTGGTTGGGTCCACCGCCGCCGTTTGTACTGGTTGGCATCCCGCAGCGCAGGATTGTCATCGAGGGGCACGCCGCCTTCAGATTGGGTCTGGCAGCAAGGCTCAGGGAGCCGACATCCGACCCTACACTACTGCGGAAAGAAGCCTATCCCTGCTCAGGTATGGTGGGATGATCACTTCCGGCCGATGCTGGACCCCAAGCAAGTGATGCAAGCGCAAGGCTCTGGTGCTATGCACCCTTTCACTCGCGAGTTCTTCCACCCTACGGATCGGCTGGCGCAAGTGACACCGGCAGCGGCAGCACGGTTCCATCAGGACAATCGTCGTTTCCCACCGGCAGCTTATGAGGAGAATTCGCTGTTGTGGTCAGGTGACAACTGGAGACAGCCCTCCCCAGACGAGCGGTCCCAATTGATGGGTGTGCCTGTGGCCGCCACCCATGCAGTCCAGGGCTCACAAGACCAGCGAACAAAGCTGCGAAACTCTTTGCTGGGCAACGGCTTCCATATTCCAAGTGTCATGGCGATTCTGTGCTGCCTTCCATCCATCATGGAGGCCAAGCTGACAAAGCAGCCCTTTGATGTGGAGGAGTTAGGCCTTGCTGAACGCCTATGCCATACAGTATGGAGCCCGGGTAGGTTGGCGACTATGCCGGGTATCCTCTCGGCAGGTGAAGTGTGTGCAGAATTACAAGCCACCTTTCCTTTCCTCCCATGTCAGGAGGCAGTCTGGCCGGAGGTGTCCAGGAGGTTGGCGGCATGTGAGCTCGCTACGCTACAGGCTTACCCGATGTGGCGCCGCCTCAGGCAAGAGTCATGGTCCACTTTGGGCCCTACACCGGTTTGGGGCCGTGAACGCACAGCCATCTATGCTGGTCTCACGGGCCAAAGATATGCCAGCAATGCAGCCAAAGGCCTGGATCACCTCCTCCCGCCGGGTATGGGCAAGCAAGAGCATATTGCAGCTGCCTTGGAACTGCCCTCACCGTTTGCACCCCGCCCCTGGCCTGAACCGGACATGAGCTTTGTCATCCAGGCTGTGGCAACCTGGAGACAAGCCCTCCCTCGCTGGGCAGAGAAGCTTCGCCACGTCCTGGCCACGGTGGCGCGGGCGGTGACTCCCCTGGAGGACGCATTGAACCCCTTTCGATGCCAGAGTGCTCGGAAAGTGGCGATGGGAAAACGACCAGCCTTTGTGGCCACCATGGTCGCTTTGTTACGGTGGCCGGACAAGATGCTCGCAAGATCCCTGGTTTTGGGCTTCGACATTGTGGGCGACATGGAGCACTCGGGGGTTTTTCGACCTATTGTCCAGGAAGGAAAACTATCCCTGGACCAGTGGTTGGGGACGGCAGCCGAGGCTGACTTAGATCGCCTCCTTCGCACCCGCCCTCCGGAGCATGTCCAAGACATCCTGGACTTGACTAACGATGAGATTGAAAAAGAGTTTTGCTCTCCTTTGCGCACCGCACGGGAAATGGATGATCTTTTCGGTGTTGGGGGGTGGAGGTTCGTGGAACGTTTCCTCATCATCCAACCGGATGGGAAGAAACGAGCCATTGACAATGCTCGGAAAAGTGGTCATAATGCTCATACAACAATGCACGAAACGATTTCAACTGTCAATGTTGACTTCTGTGCTTCAGTAGCCCGTATGTTGCATTCTGAAATGCCCTTTCCGGTAGGCTCACCTCCCGAGTGGCTTGATATCCGTCTGGGTACGGATGATCTTCCCGACGCTTACCGGGGCCTGCCCGTCGCTGACTCCCATCTTCCCTTCTCTAATGTTGCGATTTTCGTTCCCTCATTGGGCTGGAGATTTACATGTATGTGGGGTCTAGCTTACGGTCTCGAAAGCGCGGTGGTGAATTTCAATCGCTTCCCACAACTGGGTATTGCCATCACCCGTAGATGTCTCTTAGGGTGCTCAGCTGCATACTTTGATGACGAGCTATCGGTGGAGTGCATTCGTGACAACGATGTCTCCCAACGGAGCCTCCAGTTGGTTTTCAGGCTGTTGGGAGCACCGCCCCAGAGCTCCAAAAGTTTTGTGCCAGCACCTAATAGACATTACCTCGGGACTTCAGTCCACGTAGGAGACTTTGGCTGGTTAGGAGTCATCAGATTCCAACCAAAGACCTCCACTACGAGGAAGGTCCAAGCCAAGCTCCGCGAGGCTATCGCTACCCGACACCTCCGACCCGATGATGCGGGGAAGCTTCGTGGCGACCTCAACTGGCTATTCAGCATGTGCGCAGGGCAAGCCGGCCGCTTCGCAGGGCCAGTGTTGACCGCCAAACAGCACGCTGCCACTCCTGAACTAGCAGACGCTGAGGTTACTACTTTACGCCTCCTCAGCATCATGCTTCACGAAGCCAGGCCCCGGGATATTGAGGTGTGCTCTGCCACCAAATCCCCCCTGGTAATTTATTCGGATGCCTCTTTTGAAAAGGGCACCTTGCGGGTTGGATGGGTACTCATGACATCGCCTCCTTTGGGAGTCTCATGCCTGGTACCATCCGAGGTGACTGATTCATGGATTGAACGTCACCAACAGATCTACCCCGGCGAAACACTTTGTGGACTCCTCGCGCCGTGGGTCCATGGTGACATCCTTGCCGGTCGTGATCTCCTCTGGTTCGTTGATAATGAGGCCGCTGTTTCCTCATTAATTAAAGGTTCCAGTGGACAAGAGGACGTTCATGCCATTGTCCAGTTAGCTCATTTGATTTTCCAGAGACGTCAGATTCGACCTTGGATTGAATGGATCGACTCCGCCAGTAACCCTTCTGATGGTTTGTCCAGGTTGGGTATTGAGGACGAATGGACCCGTACCCAACCATGGCGACTGTGCGAACTGTCCTTCCCAGTCGAATTATATTTTGTTTCTCGGCCTACGGACCTTCAACCTTTCCTCTCCTATTTGAACAGTGGGTGATATTTTGACAGTGGGTGATCAGGTATGTTCATCAAAGATGACATAAAAAGCTAGTCTGT